CTTTCAAGATCTACATATCTACATGTGCTGATGTTTGTGTTTATCAACATTCTATTTTAAGTTCTGTGCAAGAACTCAGCTAACAGATGTTTCCACATATAAAAGCTATGTTCAAGTATTGTAGTTTTTAGAATTTAAATTATAGAATCATTTGAGACTAAATGAAACTTTAGGGAATTACATCTATTTGATTTTGTTTGTTTGTTTGTAGTTAAGCACAAAGCTCACAATGAGCTATCTGTACTGTGCCCATCAAGGGTATCAAAACCTGGTTTTTAGCATTATAAGTATTTAGACTTATCACTGGGCCAATGGAGGGCACATCTGTTTGCATTAGAATATTAGTTACAGTGGATTTACATGTAAAGTATGTTTTAAGTCTTGAAGATCAATAATATTTGCTTAAAAATATTTTTTGCCCTAAAAAAAAAAGACTTCTCAAGTAAAGTGCATATGGGTTCACAGTTCCTATTTTTATTACCTAATTCAATATAATTAATCCAAATTTCAAAATGTTTCCTCATTATATCATGTGGGCCATAAACATACCATCAAGTAGAATTTATAATAATTTAAAATTCCAAAAAATATAAGCATACTTACCTTGATGTCTTCTATTGTATCATTATATATTAATTCTGGTGGATAAACGACATCCAGATTATCCCATCGATCCTCTTCCTCTGAGTCCACAAAAATTTCAAAGTAAACAGATTTAGTTGAAAACCTGCTGTTTGTGTTGTCAAAACAAATCTTATAGTCTCCTCTCTCTTTTACCTCATGCCTATGGAATGAACAGGAAATCAATGAAGGATGATGATTTGTTACACACACTTACACTGGCCATATTGTACACATACATATAGTCATTTAGTAATTAAGATGACAGATGTACTAGTAGGAAATGAAGTAATTTAAATATATATATATATTTCATTACTATAAAGCCTACAGTAATACAGTAGTCAAGTAAGGATGCATTATTAGAATTTGAAGTAAAAACATACATATAACTAGTCCTCTATCTGGAAAATCCACACTTATTACATATAAATGTGCTGACAATTATTACAAAAATGTTCATCTGATAAAGAAAAGTTTTACAGTAATAGAAACCACTACTTACTATGTTGTTCATCAAGATTTAATACAATCATTATTAAGCTATGCTAGTAAGAGTTCAACACCTATATACATACATATATCTAATTAGTAATATCTCTTAAGGAGCTCCTAATGTCATTTATTGTTATTCTTTTAAAGAATAATGCAATATACGTTTGTTACCATACAAGGATCAGAAATTGTTTGGATAAAAAAAACTAAGGTTATAAGTTAAAATACATTAAATTACATTCATAAAGAAAACAGAAATCGATAAAGATAAGCTATAAAATACATCACTGTATTATTAATCTTCGTTTATTACTTAGATAACAAGGTAATGTAGTGATTCAGTGTGAACACCCTTTATAAGCTGGCAAAGTAAGATTACAATCAATTATACCTGCCATAATTCTTAAAATTCTTAAGGGGCTACATAAAAAAAAGTGTTGGAAAAGTATATGATAAGCCGAATACTGATGTCGTATGGCAGGTATAATTGAATGTGGTGATCCATTACTGCAGCTCTTCTGTATTAAAGGAAATATTTCTGAGTACAAATTCATGCAAGGAAACTAATTATCTTAGTACAAAAAAGGCATCTTTCAATAGAATCAGCAAATTATTACAATACTAATGAATGTACTGGAATAGTGTTTGGTAAATCAGGCATTAGTGTTTATATACACGTACACTGAAATCAGCATTGATTTTACAATAAAAGCATGCTTCAAGAAAATTTTACATCTAGCAAAAAGGGTTTTCATTACTTTTAATTAAGTGTAGGTATAACGATATAACTAAAGTAGGGATATAACTCATGTTTGAGGTGGAGCTTGGGTATGTTCCCCCCCTAAAGAGGTCCAAGGATAGCTTCCCCCCTTTCTTTCAATAATTTTCAAAATCAAGACTATTGGAAACATGAGATCCTGAATTTTCTGGTCTTTTCTAACAACAATATGAACTGAAATAACTGCATAAAAAGGCAATAAATGTTTGAATTTCTATTACTTATTTAAATGATTTAGCTTTATTTGCACTAGGAGTGTAACATTCCATCTTTAATGAATACATACATCAACTTTGTTCCTTTCATCGCTCCGATGATGCCTCTAAAGTACGCAAAACTACTAAGTAAATTTTAAATGGTTTTCTTATATAGTTGTGTTCAGTTTATTACAAAAATCAATAAAACCACAGTCATATTCTGTTACATGACATGAGCACTAAGCACATACCATTGACAGTATAATGGTAATATAAGGTCATATGGCATATATTATCTTTTCTCATTTGCTCTAAAGCATTAGAAATGACTTCAAAATTATGTGAAAACTATTTTTTATGGCAAAGAGAGGATAAAAATGTAACACTTAAAGTGACACTGGTGATTGGGTTCATCCAGGATAAAACAACAAGAAGAAAAAAACAGGTGGAGACAAAATATACAAAACCAAAGTAGTTGAGGAGATGAAATGTAATTAGCCAGAGTAGGTGATTGATTTACCTGGCACCTGTTGAAAACCCTAAACATATCATACAAAGAAGCATACCTATGTACAGCATCAGCTTTCATAAAGTCAGAGATGATTTCTCTGTTAGTAGGAGATCTTAGAAAAAAGTTGATGTTTAGTTCACGTCTTAATTCTATATCTCCGAAAGTTGCATCAAGCACCTGTTTTTATACAGAAAAAAAAAATACAGTCTGTAAGAACATGTAAATCTAGAAACACAGTACATGTACCTGTATAAACAATTAATGCATAAGAGAAAAAACAAATGGTATTATTCCAAATAGAACTTTGTAAATGCTTTCAATATAGAGATGTTACCTAATTTTCTATTTAAGAATAGCAAAATTAATATGTTATATACTTATTTGCCCAAATTAGTATTAAGGTCTCAAAGAATGCTTGTACATAAACTTATCTGATAGACAAGAAAAACCAATGGAAAGTTTATTTCTGCACTTATACATTAAGTATTCCCACTACAGATAAAACAACTTCCATCAAAAATAATAAATTTTCTGGCCCAGCCATTACTTGTAGGCCAAATTTCAATCCTATAAATTTTTGTTCTTTTAAACATTTATTCTTGATAATCCTGAGAACTTTTGCAGTTATTTTATTAAAAATAACTCATGAGTTTTAATACTGTATTTTTCATGATGATGATATGTAATATACAACTATATAATAAAAATTATCGGTCTTGATTTTATAGCTGTATTAAGTGTGATGTGAATAATTACTTTGAGTCATTATTAATCAAATGGTAGTTTCAGCTATTTTAAATATGTTCATTAAATGTTTAAGTGCATACACATGAAAAATAATTCCATCAGAACTAAAATTATATTTTCACAAGTTATATTTATGTACTCCTTTTACTTCCCTATACTTTCAGGTATACAGATTATGAATGTTATTTTTTGGAAAAGCTGTAACACCTATGTAAATAGCTGTAGTTTTTAGGGATAATTACAAACTCACTTTTATATCATCTGTGCAACTGAAATAGGAAGCTTTGAACTTTTCTTTAGATTGTATTTCTTTACACAACAGTACAAAAAGACAATAAATATTAAATGTAAAGTTACTTGTAACTTAGGGCCAAAATTAGTCTCTGACATGATAAGGAAAGCCATTTCCAAGCAAAGTAAAAGGCCCATTGATGTGTTATTTTAAGTGACTTATAAGTTATATTCATTCTAATTTTCCAAAGTTGAAGTTCTTGCTAAAGTTAAGTTTAAGCCTGAAAGTGAAAGATGAAGACATTTACTCTGTAACTTAAGACACACGATTACTGACATTTTACAACATAAGCTACTTATAAGTTATAGTTGTATACACCAAATATTCTCATCTCAAACTTCAGTTTTACTTTTACAAAATTTAAAAGTAGCAATTAATAACTTTTCTTATTTTTATGAAAACTCTGACTACATAAGCCTGAAATATAGCACTACACAACTAATTTAGTGCTAGGAGCTACATATAATTTGTTTTTTAGCATACGTTGCAGAGGCTGTTCTCGGAAAAATGCGCTACATAATCAGTAATTTAGTAAATCAATCACCTGATATTCAATTTCTATAACATCATCTTCCTTAGCAAATTGATAAAAACATTCTGTCTTCCCAGGCCCTACAGTTATCGAGAGCTCGCTCTCATTATTTTCAGCTGCATCTTTTGCTTGCAAAAACTCACGAATATTAAAAGTTATTATTGCTAAAAAAACAAATACAAATTTTGAATTCAATGCTACGACCCGTCCTCCTACCATTTTGAATTACAATACGCGTTGCGACGTCTAACGTTGATTTATGAAAAAATGGTGCTTTATATTAAAATATTTATAAAATATAATAAAGTTAAAAAATAAATAAAACATTTCATGTCTGTAAATATTAAATGACTACGAAATATATATATGTATATCTAAATGTTGATAAAAATTTCAGTTCAAGCATGCATATATATATATATGATAAAGCATATCTTTACTGAGTAAAAACGTATTTACACTTCATTGATTCAAAGTATACTGTTATAAGCGACATTTTTAATATTTTAATTTAGATGTCAGTTTGCTAAAGGAAGCTAATCGTGACGATAACGTATTATCTAGAAATTTCGTGCAGTAAGAATAAAACGATAATGATAGAGATACCAGTGAGTAAATTAGTAATCAATGAGTATTCAGTCACTGAGTTATTCATTTCAGTGCCAATTAATGATTTAGTCAATAAGAGTTATTGCATTTATTTGTCTACGATTCAATTAATTAATGAATCAATCTTTTGTTATCAATCAGTTAATAAGGAAATTCTACAAGTAAGTTCGTGAGTAAGTGTAAAGCAAATAACTTTAGAAATATCTGTTGAAATGTTTTTTGGGATGTTAGGCCTACAAATGGCTGTAGCTTGTAGCAATGTTATTGATGTTGTTGTTGTCTGTATGTTATTAAGCACAAAGTTACACAAAGAGCTATCTGTGCTCTGCCTACCACGGATATCGAAACCCAGTTTTTAGCAGTGTAAGTCCGCAGACATACCACTTTGCCACTAGGCGGCAATGTTATTGAATAAATAAATTAATTCATTATCGTTACATGGACTGGACACAGTATTATTTGTATTATATAATCCAAAAGAACCTGCCCAACGATAAAATACGTTACAACAACATCACGGAAGATTGCCGCTAGTGCTTAGTAGGATTCGATTCTCTGTGCATCACAAGATAAATAAAACAAGTTGTTACCAATATAATATGATTACTTTTAAAAGACACTTATAAGCTATTATCAATTTATGACACACTTCCGACCTCCCATAAATAGATTACTTGATACAAACAAAGTCAGAGTCGTAGGTTTAGTTGATAACTTATTTTAATTCGTTTTTATTCTTCAGATTGGATATTTAAATAATTTGTTCTAGATGGGCATCGCCTCCCAGTGGCTCAGCGACAAATCTAAAGGCATATAACACTAAAATCTGGGCTTAGATACCTGTGATAGGCACAGCACAGATAGTCCATTTTGTAGCTTTGTGCTTAACTAAAAACAAAAAAAGACCAGTATCAGAAGTAACATTGAAAATGAATCCTTCTTCATTAGCAGATCCTTCGTTTGAAAAATTATCAATAAGTTTGATCATTTCAGTGGATAGTTAATATCTTGTTATTGTAGCATGGAACTGAAAAGCTAGTTAGGATGACAAACTTTTGCGTTTCCGATTTTTAAAGTATATGATACATTACATAAATGATCCTTTTTATCACCGCTAATAGACCTTCTCGACATCAACTTAACTTTAAAGATCTGTCTTCATTTTTACAATAAATTGCATATCCACATATTTTAACTGTAATACATTATAGACGTTTCAGTATTGACATCACATCATCCTTACGATTCGCACTGACTTACCTCCATTTCGTAGGTCAATATCAATGCTATCTCTTGTATCTGCAAATGTATTCGAAAAAGGGTTTTCATGAACTTATTTAGTAGAGGCTTAAATAATACCTTTTATCAGTTTTCATTGTTCTATCTTCCAGTATATTTATTATTCAGGTCCAAAGTTATAAACTAAATGAGACTCAATTGTTATAAGCACCTTACTATTTTTTTATAGATTTGAGAAATTCCTACTTATCTATATGGCCAGGTGGTTAGGGCGCTCGACTCGCAATCTGTGTGTCGCATGTTCGAATCCACTGTCCTACGAAATATTCTCGCCCTTTCAGCTGTGGGGGC